GGGGGGGGGGGGGTTTCAACCCCCACCAGGGGCCAGCAGCAGGTGTTTGTGGGGGTCGCCATAAGAGAGAGGTGTCTACTGGCTCAAGGCTAACAGAAGGCGCCCGTCTGCGGAGCTGGCCTGGGCCTGCCAGGGGCTCTGAGCCGCAGGGCTCCCTTAGGAAAGGGGTGGGAATGAAGACAGACGCTCCTTTCCACCATCCCCCACCCACCTGGTTTCCTGGGAAACAGGGCCTGGCAGGAAGCTGTACCCCGAAGATTCCGCACCTCCCAGGGATCTTACTGTCACCTCCCTATTTCCAGAAAGGGTCTGGCACCATGACCTCAGTCAGAGTGGGGCTGTGAAATTCGAGGGGCTGGGGTTCAGACAGGTAAGAATTAATAACAATAATAAAAATGACCACCTCTCAAGCTCCTCCCTCTCCCAGAAAACAGGCCAAACCTTGGGCATAAGTCATTTAATTTTCTCAAGCACCCTGCACCTTGGGCCTTTTTAAACTGCCACCTTGCAGATGAGGAAGGGAGGCTCAGAGAGGTGAAGTGACTTGCCTGAGGTCACACAGCCCGTACAGTGGCCGAGGGTGGACAACTCACAGCCCAGTCAGTCATCTCTGAAGCCAGGGCTCCCACCACTCCCTGGGCTGCCTGTCTACCTGCTGCCTGGTTGAAGGGGAAGATGCATGCCATAACTAGGATATGAAACCAGTATTACAAAATAAAATAATGAAACAGGTTTTCCTGAGTGGACTAAAGAATAAACATCCATGTGCAATTGGAAAGACAGATGTGCTTGTAGAGGTCAGAACAACCAAGGTTCCCTGTTGGTCCGGAGCGTAGCGGGGCAGTGAGCCTGTGGGCTGGGTGGTCAGGGAAGGCTTCGTGGAGGACATGGGCTCTTGAGTATGGGTGGGCGTGGGAGCAGAGGGGAAGCCCAGCAGCTGAAGGTTTCCATTCCCTGGGGCCAGGGTTGGGGACAGGTCTGTATCCGAGCCAGCCTTGGCCAGAAGTACTGGGTAGAAACTTGAAAGTAGGCCTGACCCCTCTCTGTGTGTCCTAGGAGTGGATTTTCGGGTCAAAAACCTGCTGGTGGACAACAAGCACTATGCGCTGCAGCTCTGGGACACGGCTGGCCAGGAGAGGTAATGGCGCTGTCTTCATGAGCAGCATCAGCGACCTGCCCTGAGCCCGATGCCAGGGGTGGAGGACAGCCCCGACCCTGAGGCCACCAAGTGCAAAAGAGACATCTGTCCCCAGAGGAGTCAGAAGGTCGGGGGAGGAGAGATGAGTCAAGGCCCAGTAGGGGAGACAGGGTGGCGGACCCAGAGGCCACTGGGCCTGGCAGGGCCTCTGTGAGGGTCATCCCTCAGGGACAGCCCCCCGATCACTGTCCTACTGCAAATACTGGCCATCCACTTGCCAGTTGGGCAGCAGTGATCAAAACTTGAAAGCATGTCTCTGAGCCAGCAGTTCCGCTTCTAGAAATTCACGCTTCTGATGAACTCACATGTGATGATAATATCAAAGGGGCCGGGGCTGTTCGTAGCAGCGTTTATATTACCAAACACTGGGGACAACCTCCACGTCACCGATAGTGGGCCGGTGAGATGTCAGGGCCTAGCCACGCAACAGAATGCTATGAAGCCGCAAAGAGGGAGGACCCTCGCTGTGCACCAGGGAGACACCGCCAAGAGGTTTTACTAGAAAAAACCAAGTAGCGATTACTGAGTATTAACGAGCCCAGTGAGTGTTTTACACTGTACTTGTGTTAACGGGCGCGGGGCAGGTGCGTGCACGTGTGTAGATACGTGCATGCATATACATTTATACATCGCCCTGGGCGCCCTTTGGTACCTTTTGGAATCTGAGCCGTGAGAACTGTTACCCATTCAACAGTAACTGCACTGTAAGGAGAGAGCATATGCACACGCTCCGCGGGGAGCAGTTAGAGGCGGGAAAGATGCCTTCTCCCACTTTGCCGACGGAGGGGCTGAGGCCTGAAGAGGCGGGGGCTGGGGCGAGCCCGCCAGGCGGGCCTCACGCAGACTCCCTGCGCAGGTACCACAGCGTGACGCGGCAGCTGCTCCGCAAGGCTGATGGGGTGGTGCTCATGTACGACGTCACGTCCCAGGAGAGCTTTGCCCACTTGCGCTACTGGCTGGACTGTCTCCAGGTGAGCAGATGACCAACTGAGGTTGGCCCCAGTTTGGGGGGTCAAGAGGGAACTTATATCCTGCCCACTCTGCCTTTCTTCCCAGGATTACAAATAATACAAGAGACATATAGGTGACACAGCTCACTGCGGGCATGTGGCTGGATGGGGTGGGAGTAGTACAAGGGGACTGTAACCACACAGTACACCCTCCAAAACAAACTACTTCCTTTATCCTATGAACATTTCTTTCATACGTACAGCAACTCTGTGATCTTTGCTTAACCCCTGGGGATAATGCTATTCTAGTACCAATCTAGGTGATAATTTCTTTGTCCACACAGAGGAATCTTTAGTTCTTTCCCCATGTATTTAATCAATACATACATGCTGAAATTCTGCAGTATGTACTAGCAGAGGGATATGAAGACATGTCTTCTTTCTAGAAGTTTCTAGTCTAGAAAGAGATGCAAAGGAAGTAGGATAAGGTAATATATAAGGGCACCTGGGCTCTGGGGTCAGACAGGACCCAACTCTCCCACCCCAACTCTGTGACCCTGGACAAGTGACTTAGCCTCTCTGAACTTCAATTTCCCAACTTCTCTCATAGAGTTGTGAGGATTCACTGACATAATTGCTTTCAGCACAGCACCTGGTATAGAGTAAACACTCAGTAAAAAAAAAGCTATTATTATTATTTTTCATGAAACAATTAGGAAATGAGCCAACACTCTCTGCATAACCAAGCTCTGGGCTATTGAGCACAGGCAGGAAGAGAGGGGCATGGGCAGGATCAATCCATGAAGGCTTCCTGAGGGAGGTGGCTTTGAGGTTGGCCTTGGAAAATGGGTGACATGTTTGCAGGCAGATAGGAGAGGCAGCTTCACTGTAGGTAGAGGGGAAAGTGTCACAGCGGGAAGGGTGTGGAGTGAGTGTGACATGGCAAGGTGAGGGTGTGGGGGGAGGAGGCATACTGTCAGCTTCCTGAAGGTCACGGCCAAATCCACCCAGGTCCTGGCACACAGTAGGCACTCAACATGTGTGGCTGAGGGAATGTGCTCTGTGTGCAGGACTCAGCGCCCGACGGAGTGGTCGTGCTTCTCTTGGGAAACAAGATGGACTGCGACGAGGAGCGACAGGTGTCCACCGAGGCTGGACAGCAACTGGCCCAGGTGAGCACTTGGGTGTTGGCCTGTCCCGCAGCCTGGACTGGGCAGACACCTCCCTGGAGGGTAGTGAATAGGTCTCCCGGGCCCAGGCCACCAAGAAGGACCCATTGGCCATTTCTGCCCCAGCCCAGCCAGAGGCCAGGTCAGAGGGGACAGCAGCTGCCCACCTCTGCCTCCCACCCACCCCAGCTTTAGAGCCAAACCCGAGTCAAACCCGGTGGGCATGACATTGAACCTCACTGCTGACGTAGCAGATCCCCACCCAATATCCTGACCTACGGAAAAAATATCTTCAGAGTAAAAAGGTTTTAAAAGCTTCACTTAAAATACCCAATCAAATCCTAATTTTATCTCTGGTCTCTAATTAACATAACATTCCTTCTAATTTAATCTATTTTAAGACTGAAATTCTTCCCCAGGAAGAGGAACATCAGAAGCCCCACCGCCAGACGGTGGACACTATTTATTTATGAATAGAATTTGACCACGTTCCAGAAAATCTGGAGGGTCATCAAGGAAAAAAAGAGTCCACTCCTTGCCCCATGCCTGACACACCGTCGTGGCATTTTCACTCTGCTTCCCTCCCACTTCTCTCATTTCTCACCCTCCTGAGGTCATCACGGTGGCGCCTACTGGGTGGGAATTTTTTTCTCTTAAAAGTGGTAGCTCATTTCTTTGACATAGTAATTCCCCCTCTAGCAATTTATCCTGAAAGAAGCAGAAATAACAACCCCTAGAGAATCACACAATGGCCACCCTGTTCGATGTGTAATCAGATGTGTTTACTCGGGGATGTTCTCTACGGCAGTATTTACAAGGACAAAACGGGACAGCAGCCAGTGGTTGAACAGTGGGGGCTCATGTGAGAGGCCAGCATTTGCCATTAGGAACCCTGTCCTGGGAAAGCGCTGAAGGGTGTGGAAGACGGGCTTACACCACAGTGTGAGGGCAGGAAAGCAGCTGCAAATCTGGGTACAGGTTGGGTTGCCCCCTATGACAGCGCTGATATTTGATTGGGGCCCACACAGCAGTTTCACCAGTTTAATCTAATGGTACATGACCTTTAGCATCCCCCCTCCCCCTAATTAAGGGGTTATATAAAACAGAATGGAAATATATATGCTAACAGCAGTGGTTTGTATTTTGTACTTTTTAATGCTGTCTCATCTAATATTTCCCCCAATTAAATATTATTGAAATTAAAAAAAACATAACTGATGGTTTAAAAATATTAAGGACATTTCTCCAAGTTGGGACACAGGCTTCTCACTGTCGCTCTGAAGGCTGTGGAATGTTTCCAGGATGTCAACTTTGACACCTTGGCCAGCCAGGGTGGAGGGGCAGTGGGCAGAGGGGCGAGGCTGGGGACCATGGCTATACGAAGATGGGGCTGCCTCACCCTTTGGGGTTGGCCTAGGGACCTACTGGGTGGAACTCTGTCGGGTGGTCAGGCTTTTGGTGGTGGGGGCTGCTGCCTGGAGTCTAGCGGTCTCCCGCAAGGCACTCATACCCCGTCCGTCTGGCCTGCAGGAGCGGGGGCTCTCTTTTGCAGAATGCAGCGCTGCTCTGGGTCACAACATCCTGGAGCCCATGGTCAGCCTGGCCAGGTGAGTGCCACCTGCCACCTCCCACCCTGAACCCTCTGGGTAGCTTTCAGTCAGCTTGTGTGGGGATCACCAGTGAAACCACAGAACTCACCAGTGTGGAGGAGAGAGCACTGTGTGAAGAGTCTCCTGACTCCAGTTCTACCAGCCCCATTAGCTGCATCACCTCCCAAAAGTCATATCCTCTCTCTGAGCCTCAGTTTTCTCATTGGTAAAATGTTCCCAACCTTCTAGTGACTTTCACTGGATTTAGAATAAAACCCAAATGCCTGCATTGTCTCCAGGGCCATCTCCCTGCATGTGCGTCTCACACACACACACACACACACACACACACACACACACACAACACATGCATACACACTACACACACACTCACTGAGCTTCAGCCACGCAGAGGGGCCCTCCCTGATTCTGGATCACAGGTCTCTGCTTGTGTCCTTCAAAACCCTTCAGGACAAATTGTAATGACGAGACATTTGTCTGTTTTCCTCTTGCCATCTGCCTCCTCCTGCCCGAGGCTGCAGATCCTGCAGGGCACAGCTTGGTCTGTTTTGCTCAGCCCCTCCCCGCATACCTGGGACCTTACAAATATAAGGTGCTCAATAAATGAACGAAATGACTAAGAGGGAGGGGGTATCAGACCAGCAGATCTCTAAGCTCCTTCTTTGACAAAGTGACTACAGTGACTTGCTACAGTGACTTCCCTTTGCTTCAGGATAAAAGCCCAGATTTCTTCCAGGCCCTAAACCCTAAACCCCTGCTGCCCCCAAGGCTTCTTTCTGACCATTCAGTCCTTAGCTATGTGATTTAGCAAAGTGCTCAGCACATAGTAAATATATTGTGAATGAATGAATGAATGAATGGACTTCTTTTACTTTCCCAACCCCCAAGCTCTCCCTTAACACTGAGCCTTTGCCCTCTGCCCCGAATGCACCCCCTTTTCTGCTGCATCTCAGCCCGGACACTACCTCTGCCTCCTGAGTCCCTCCAGGACCTGGTGTGAAGTCCCTCCGGGTGCTTCCCCATTCCCGGGTCCTGATCAACCTGTCTCCTCGCTGCTCCCTCACTGCCCAAGGCCAGGACATGCTGGCTTCAGTGTCCCTTGCACAGTGCCTGGCACATAGCAGGCTGGAAGGAATGCCAGAAAAGGGACAGAAGCCAAAGTCTCCGTGGCCCCGTTTTTCTGGTGCCATGGGGAATGCAGGGCGGGGGCATAGCAGGTAGAAGAGAGGAAGCTCAGGGGTGCAGCCCTCCAGCCCCACAAGCTGCACCCATGGGCCCCTCCTTGTTGCCCCTGGAAGCCGATCGAGAGGACTGATGCCTGGGTGTGGTCATGCCTGGGTGTGGTCATGCAGGTCACTCAAGATGCAAGAAGACCGCCTGAAGGGCTCACTGGTGGAGGTGGCCCCTGAGAGGCCCCCAAAGAAAGCTGGCTGCTGCTCCTGACCGCCTGGTCTGGCTTCGCTGGGATGGCCACCTGCCTGGGCTCCCCGTTCCTCACCCCTGTCCCACCTGCCTGGGCACAGCAACATCAGAGAGCCCCAGCTTGGAAGTTCAGGAGAATCCCCCTCAGGTCAGGACTTGGATCCCAGGGCAATGGCTGTACTAACGCCGCCCTTTGTTTTCCGAAGAAGGACTTTGCTGGGTAAATAATCCTTGGGGTGGGGGATTATTTAAAGAAAGGAAAAATCTAGAGAAACAGCTTAAGGAAAATACGCCACAGTATTGGCCACACATCTCTGGGTGGTAACACCATAGGGCGAATGTATTTGTATTTTCAGAACTTCTGCAAAGACTGTGTATTCCTATATAGTCAGAAATAAAATTGAAGGGAGGAAAGAAACTTTTCAAGGATCTTGCTTTGATGCTGATTACGAATCGGCATCTCCTGTTCGTGACAAAGTCCTCTGTTCATTAAAGCGGTCCCACTGTTCTGTGCCAGGTGAAGCCGCCGAACTTGTCTCACTCATGTAGCTGTTGGCAAGCCTGGAGTTTCTTCCAAGAATTGACTCCTGGGAAGAGCAATGTTCTGATGGCCTCAGATGGCACCCCAGTCTCCCTGAGCCCCGCCTTTCCACCCCGTGCCCCAATGCCAGGTGTCTCCTGGCGCAGACCTCTGCCCCGAGGCGTCAGTCTCTGGATGCCCTCAAGGTACAGCTGGGGTGTGACAGGTGGGGGCCTGGGGAGCAGCTGGGGAGCTGAATTCGATCACTCATGGGCTCCTCTTTGGGGTGTTTGCGGGAGTTCCCAGAATCACACAGCATTCGGTGCCCTGGAGAACTGGCTTTGAGAGGCTCAGAGCAACGGCCTAGACTCCGAGTGCCGGCCTCTCGTGCTGGGCCATCTCCTGTCCCCTGTGTTTGCTGCGGATGTTGTCTGTCTCATCTGCCTGGAAGCCACAGTAATGCTCCCATGCGCTGCGACGCAGTGTGTGCAGGGCACTGAGCCTGGTACTTTGTAATCGTTGCGGTGAATTCCTCGGCTGAATCAGAGGAAACCCCAGTTTCACAGAGAGACAAGCACAGACACTTCAAGAGGCAGCGGCAGAGCGAGAAGGGGAAGGCGGAGGGCGCGGGACAGGGCGGGGACAGGGCGGGGACAGGGCCGGCGCCTTCCGGCGCCTTTAATGGGTCTCCTGCTTGGCCCACCCCTCGGCTCTGTTCTAAAGGGGATGCCTCGGTGACAGTGAGCTCTGTTACTAGAGCCACAAAAGCAGAAGCCGGGTGACACTCGGCAAAAGGTGAGGTGGAGAAATTCAGGCATCAGAAGCCACCAGAGCCTGGGCCTTTGACTGCATGCAGGCTGATTCCCGCGAGCCGGCCTGTTGTTACTGCCCCTCGCCGATGCTCTCCTACCCCAGTGTCCCCTCCCTTTCTGGATCCTCTCGGTCAGCCCACCAGCCTGGCCCTGCTCTGAGCAGTCTCTAGGCTGTAGATGCTCAGAGAAAGACAGACAGACAGAGAGAGGTGGGCTGTAGGGAGTGGTACCTGGCCCTGGACAAGGGTGGGGCAAGTCCTGATGTTGCTAATGGCTCCCTCTCTGGGGTCCAGGGACCTGGAGGCAGCGACATCTCTGTCCTGTGTGTCAGTGGGTTAATGGGGCAGGCAAGGTGTGACTCCTGGGGGAGCCAGTAGAGCCCTGTCCTTTGGGGGACCCAGTACACATGTGGCCCCTGGGCCTGCCCCTCCCGTCTCAGCTCTGCCCCGACCTCAGGCGGCTGCATGGGGCTCCCTAGAGGTGGGTGACAGAAGGGGAAGGGACCGCATCCTGCCCAGAGCCCTCTCTCGGCTTTCTCTGGCTAGAGCCAGCTTCTGTGCGGAGCACAGCTATGGAGGGGCCGCTGGCCTTTCCTGGTGTCACAGGTTCCAAGGCAGCAAGCAGGGCCCAGGAGCCGTGGAGCAGCGTGAGGCAGGTGAGGAGAGCAGCAGGAGGGGCTCCAGGTAGACTTCAGAGTGAACTTGCAGGCAAGCGGTGAGCTCGCAGCACATGTCAGCCAGGGGGGTCAGGTCACAACTTAGCTTGAGCTGATGAAGAAAGCGAGGGTGGGACCGGGCTGATGGGCCCAGGGTGTGAAGTGAGAAGGGGTGGGCAGGGGGATAAATGGAGCCTGGGCAGGGGTGTTAGGAAACAGAGCTTTTCAGAATTGAGAGGAGACGGGAACAGAGCAGCAGCCATCATTTACCAAGCACCTACTGTGTGCCAGGCACTGTTCTGAGCACTTAACTGTATTATTTAATCCTCACATAAAGCTTATGAGGTTGGGCCTGTTCCTATCCCCGTTTTACAGATGAGGAAAGTGAGGCAGAGAAGACCGAGTGACTTGTCCACAGTTGCGTAGCTGGCCAGTGGTGGATCCGGGTTTTGAACCCAGGCTCCAGCGCCCACTAGCTTAACCTTATGGGAAGATATGGGTCATGCTTAGGGGGAGCAGGGCCCAGGGCCCTTGAGCCTTCCTTTCCCTCTCCCCATCCATTCTCCTGTCCCCTTTCCCTGTCCCTCCTCTCCTCTCTAGCTGCCGTTGGCAGGCAGGATGGGCCAAGTGGAAGGAATACAAAAGCAGGGAGGAATTCTGAGACAGAGAGAGAGGGGGGCAAAGGGGATGAACTGGGCCTGGTCTCTCACTTCCTCCTTCCTCCGAACAAATCTGAGACCTGGGAAAGTGCTGGTGGCAGAACTCACAGAGGCCCCTCTCCGGTCTCTTCCCAGCTGTCCTCAGGCAACTTGTTGCCACAGGATCCCAGAGACCAAGCATGTTCTTCAGGCAGGAGGCCCCCCAACCCTGGCTCTGAGCCAGCTAGAAAGGGGTCTCCAGCCCTGTCCCCAGTGTAGGAGAAAAGGGGATGAGGGCCTCACCGCACTGTCTTGTTTGTTGCTGAATCCCCAGAACCTAGCTCAGGGTGGATGCTCAGGAAATATTTATTTATTGAGTTACCGGGCAAGCCTCTCCCCACTAAAGGTGGGAGGGCAACCATGCCCGCTCTGAAGGGTAGCAGGTGGCGACAGCAGCCCCGGGGCTGGCTCTGGGATCTAGACCTCATTTCCTAGGCTGGGTCCTCTCAATCAGAAGTCCTATGTTCTCAGCATGTGGATGGAGTGGTGTGAGGAGGAAGATCTGACAGTGGGGGTGCAGCGCCCCCCCACACAACCCTAGTGGTTCCCAAGCTGGCCTGGGAGCCACAACCAAAGTCCAGGCCAATTAAATCCCAACTGTGGGGGTGGGACTCATGCATTAGTACTTTTGAAACTCCTCAGGTGACTCCAATGTGCAGACAAATTTGAGAACCAGTGGTCAGGACTTGACACCTTCTTGAAGCCTTTGTGTATCCACTTTCTTACCAGAACCTCGAATTAAAACCTGCCTGTTTCACGGTCAGGGCAAGGTTGTGCTTAAAAAAAGAAAGCATGCATCTCTATCTCTATCATCTCTATCTCTGTCTCTATCTCTATCTGTATCCGTATCCAAGTCCATGTCCATATTCGAATCCATATCCAAATCCAAACCCAAATCCATATCCAAATCCATATCCAAATCCAAATCCATATCCAAATCCATATCCATGTCCATATCCACATCCAAACCCAAACCCAAACCCAAATCCATATCCATATCCATATCATATCCAAATCCATATCCAAATCCAAACCCAAATCCATATCCGTATCCAAATCCAAATCCATATCCCATATCCATATCCAAATCCATATCCATATCCATATCCATCTATAGCCATATCCATATTTACTTATGAGACTCCATTTGAACTCAAGGAAGAGATTTTAGAAATAAGAAATTAAAAAGAAAATGAAAATTGTCTGAATCTTGCCCTTTAATGACACTTATGTTGACATCTGCTTTATTTCCTCACTTCTTTACAGTTGAGAAAATTGAGGTAGAGAGACATTAGGCAACTTTCCCAAGGTGATGGAGCTACCAGGTACCAGAGTCAGGATTTGAACCCAGGGCGCTGACAGAACCCGTCCACTAGATTGTCGTGAAGTCTGAAGGGGCTAATACATGTCAAGGGCATCTCCTGCACACAGGGGTCTGCAAGGAGTGGGACTCAACATGGGAAAGAGGGAGGCGGCCCTCAGGGTGGTTTCTACACTGTCCTTGGGTGTCCGGAGCAGAATAGAGCCCAATGCCACGGTCACCGCCAGGCTCACAGCCACACGAGAGGGACTGCTCTGACTTGTCTCTACCAGGCTCTGCGGCCTCAACCTGCTGGTGGGGCTGCTGGCCAATGGGCTCATGCTGTTGGTGGTGGCTACGAATCGGGTACCCCCCTCCCACCACCCCACCCGCTCCTTGCCCTAACAGTATCTACCTCCTCTGCCTGACCTCTCCCAACTGTCACTCACACACCTCTCAGACCAACAAGGGAACACAAATCATCAACCACAGAGCCATGAGTCTCGGCCTGTGCATTTCTGAACACCCTCCCTTCTCTGTGGTTCTTCTGGCTTGGCTGGGGTAGGGGCCCCTTTTGAGGCTCTTCCACCTCTCCAGAGCAAATAGAGTTCTCCATCTCTCCTTCGCCATCCCTATGCCCTCCCCCTGGCCTCCTGGGAGCAGGCCTCAGGGTGTTTGTTGGCCTGAGAACCAGGGAGATTGCCTCCACTGAAGTTCCCAAGACAACACAGTCTGCTTGTTAATAGCGCTACAGCTACACACACACACACACACACACGCGCGCGCACACACACATCGACTTCCATGGTCACAAACACTGGGTTGAGCCAAGTCAAACTGGTCTCTTTGCTCCAAGACTTATCAGAGCCTTGAATACCCTAAAGGCCATTGGGATTTTCTGAGAGGTGCTCAGAGCAGTCATTTTCCTAAAATCCATGCCAGGGAACCAGTGTCCCATGGAACACACCTTGGGAAAGGACCCAGGAGAGGAGTTACAGTGTTGAGCACAGTAAAAATGCTCTCAGCACCCTGAGGCAGTGGTTCTGAACCTCAGTTCCTCTCCCAGGTGGACGTCTCCTTCAAAGGTTCCCCACAGGCACCCAAGGAGAGATAAAATGGGCCGCTGGTTATGAGAACTTCCCTCTTCCGGAGCTGTGACCCCACCCAATTCCCACTCACAGCACATCGGAATGCAAGTCAGAGGGACAGCTAATTACAGGGACAGCCAGGAATCAGCTAATTTACTATAAGATCCTAAGAAGTAAACAAGTCCCAAACTTTGGCAGAATTAGTACCAAATTTCTTGTGATGTGCAGATCGGGAATGGCTTTCTGAAGGCCTAATCTGAGAGCAGACTGGTCCCCGATGGCCACAGTGATTTACGTGTGAAGAGAGACAAGGAAGGAAAAGGTGTTTGTTGTGTAGCTAACAGCAGCAGGTCCTGTGCACGGCCCACGCCTCACCTGTGCATATCTACGTGTCACTCGCTGGGAGGGAGGAGTGATGGTGCCATCCCACAGAGGAACACATGGCTTGTGAGTCATCCTCCGGGGCCCACAGGCCCTGGCCCCTCCTACTGGTCTGGCCTCCGGACCCCAGGGTGGTGGGAGTTCCTTGCTCACTGCTGCAGAGCAAGAGCAGCAGCCTGAGGCTGCAACTGCGTGAGTCAGTGTCTCCAACCCTGAGTGGGCTCAGCAAATATTTGTTGAAAGATGAATGGATGAGTGATCAATGCAATAAAGTGGCCCGCTTGCTTTATTTTAATTAATTATTTATTAAAAAAAAATTTTTTTTTTTTTTAAATATATCTCTTTATTGATTTCAGAGAGGGGAAAGGAGAGGGAGAGAGAGAGAAACATCAATGATGAGAGAGTCATTGATCGAGCCCGCAACCCAGGCATGTGCCCTGACCGGGAATCTAACCCCGATCGCCTGGATCCTAGGTTGATGCTCAACCGCTGAGCCAGGCCGGCCGGGCTTAATTATTTATTTTTAAGACAGAACTACAGTTTGGGGGAAGGGGATATGTTACTGTCCAAATAAATTCCTTATTGCCTTTTGTTTTTCCCACTTGTTTTAGAGAATAATCGGATCTTTCACCCCCCAGTGGCTGCTTGCTTCACTCAAGAGTCACACTGAAGGCCTTACCATGGCCACCAAGACCCTGTGCATCCTGGGCTCTTCAGCTCCCTAACCTAATCTACATGAGTCCCACTTAGTGCAGCTCCAGCCACACCAGCCTCCTTGCTGTCCTTCGAGCAGGATCCCACCTCAGGGCCTTTGCATTTGCTGTTCCTTTTACTTGGAGCTCTCTTGCCTCCCTCTCATTTCCTTAAGGCTCATCTCAACTGCCACCTCCTCAGAGAGGCCCTCCCTGACCACCTCATCTAAAATATCACCCAGTTAGTTACTCTCTCTCCCTGTTACTTACTCTCTCTAATTTTTCTTTGTAACTTATCACTACCTGAAAATAGGTTGTTTACCTATTTATGTGTTTACTGCATTTCACCTGTCGTATCTGCGCTGTAAGCTCCATGTGGAGACAGGGCCTGGGTTTGGTTCACTGCTGCATCACAGCGCCTAGCACAGACCCTGGCACGTAGTAGTTGCTCAGTAAATCCTTGTTGAATGAAAGAATGGAAGAAAGAGACGAGAGCCTGGACTCTCAAACAGCAATCTCTGTGCTATTTTTCCCAGGAGAAAGGAAAACAAGGAACTTTAGTAAAAGAACCAAGTTTACTTCAGTTTAAGGCAAATTCCACACAGAGACTGTCTCAGACACAGGCACGGGACCAAACAGTGTAGAAACACCACCATCATGCATGACAGGAAGGGAGCGGTGTGGGCAGCAGACAGGGTGGGGCCTGGTCTCCACCCAGGCACAGGGCGTTCAGCGGGCTGAGGAGCCCCATGCGGCAGAGGGACTGGCATGCATGACCTGCTGCGGGTGGGTAAGGGCTGGGCAGCTGGGTGGGCCCAGGGGTGAGATCACCTTTCTCACCTTTCCCACGGCGGGGGCAGGGGCTTGTGCTCAGAGGACAGAGCCCAAGGTTGAGTACTAGGGTGATGACAGGATGGAACAGGGCGACCCTAGAGCCAAGGCGGCCTGGGTAAGAGGTTGCCCTGGTGAGGAGTGGGATGGGGACAGCTGGGTAGGGGATGAATGGACTCTCAGGGCATCAGAGCTAAAGGTAAGCCCGAGACCATCTGGTCAACCCTCTTGCCTTACAGGTGTGGAAACCAAGACCCAGAAGGCAGAGGCCCTTGCTTGGGTTCCCACAGCAGGGAGGGCTGCAGGCAAGGCTTGAACCAAGGACTCCTGACTCCTGTCCCTGTGGGATAAAGGGGGAGTGTGGGAGTGCTGGGGCTGGGCTGCTCCTTGCCCAGGCCTTGAGGTGGGCAGCAGAGGGGTGGGCACCAAGGACCCTGGGCAGCCTCTTTGGGGAGGTGGGGGTGCCTGGAGCCAGTAGTCAACTGTGGTGCCTGTGGGCCCACACGCCAGGGAGAGGCCTGTGGATCTGTGTGTCATACTGGGCTTGAGGGGCACCAGAAAAGACCCTGTGCCTGAAAAACCTCCACGCCTGGCCCATCGTGCGGCCTGTCGTCTACCAATACACCCTCCCCCTCATGGGGCTGCGGGGTTCCCACTGCAAGTAAGTGTCCCTGGGAGGGTGGCATGTCCAGGTGTTCCTGCCAACCCATCAGCCTCATGGGGTTCACTGGAAACAGGGACAGGGGATACTAGGGTGGGGGTCGGGGGCCAGGTAGAGGAGTAGACGGTACAGGAGAAGGGGAGGGACAAGGGGACCTGGAGGAGGGAGGCCCAGCCCAGGCTTCAGGGCCGTATGGGAGCAGATGGGATTGTTCAGGTGGGCTGAGGGGAACCCCAATCATCCTGATTATTAACACCTTCCTGGCTGGGCTAGAACCAATTGTCAGGGAGAGAAGAGAAGGGGCCCACAACCCCACCTCTACCACCTGTACCCAGCTCCCTGGGTTTGGGCCATAACTGAGGCCAGGAAATCTGGAAGGAGTCTCCAGAGGCCCCACCCTCTGCCAGCCTCCCAGGCACACGGGTTCCAAAGGCTGGGCGGGGAGGACTGTAGGGGGGTGTCTAGGGACCCTGTGTAGCCTTCTATTGGCTTCCCCAGGCCCCAGCCACCTGCCATGGGCCAGGCTCAGATGTTCGTGTTCAGGGGGGAGGCAGGGGGCGTGCGGGCTGGAGACTGCGAGGGTGAGCTGGCCTGGGCCTCAGGTGGGGGGCGTGGGCGGATGCCCTTTGCCTTCATGTAGGACACCAGCTGGTCGGGGATCTCGGCCAGCACGTCTCGGGCCAGGCGCGCCATGCTCAGCACGTGGTTGCCTGTGCGGTCCACATAGTCCCTGAAGGGCACGAACTGGCCAGCGGGGAAGGCAGGGTTAGGCAAGGGAAATGCTGAACGAACCCCTGGCTTCCAGACACCCGGCCCTCCCCGGCAGAGCCCACACTGTCTCTTTGGCCCCCTTCTCCTCCTTCGTCAAGTCAGGCCCCTCTGCTTCCTCCCAGGGGTGCCCCCCAGGGCCTTAGGCTCACTCCTGCCTCCAGGCCTCCGCACATGGGTCCCACCTCCCAGACGGCCCTTGCTCTGGTTTCTAGCCCCAATCTGGTCTCCCCACCTGGAACCCAATTTTTTTAAATCCAGGGGTATAGAGAATGTGCTTTATACTCCTAATCTCCTAAGCAGCAGGACTCTGCAGGAGATGCCAGGAGGGGTCGCTTGCTGAGGTGCATCTGAGGCTTGTCTGGACAGGAGGCCCTGGGGACCAAGACCTGTCTGCTCATTCCCTCTGCACCCTACATGGAGATGCGGACACTGATTCAATCAGCCAAGCAGTGCAGGTTCCTGGAGAGGGGCTGCAGCAGCACTAAAGGCTTCCTCCCCTTCCAGGGGTTGCCATCTCACGGGGAAGGCGCCCGGCACAAAACAACAAAGGCCCAAGGAATCACACGCCTGTGCTCTGCGGGA